CCCCAACCTAGAGACAACCCTCAGAATTATATTTCTTTATTTCTCTCACCATCATACGCCGCCTGCCGGAAATCGCTCCACGACGGCGGCGGCACCGCAAATCCTTCCAAAATCACGCCCTACACTCCACTCTTCATGTTCAACACAAATCCACCATCAATTATTCCAAAAACCTCCCCAAATCCGGCCAATTTCAAATCTAAGAAATTCAGAAAACCTAAATTTAGTTTTTTCTGGAAATTTCAAGAACATTTTGGCTCAGACTTACATGAGTTCGATTGCTCTTGACACGAGAAATCAATTCATGTTAGTTTGGTTCATTTCGAAGCTCACTGAATTCCGGCCAAGTCATCGCTGACTGGCCAAGCTTCGTCGCCTTCATCGTTCGTCGATTCGCTTCGTTCGTCGACTCATTTTCCGGCCAAAATCAGTATACTTTTCTTTTGCCTCTTCCTTGTTTCTTTTTTCTGTTTCTGAATCACTAAGTTAGATGTTAATTATTATTTATTAGTTTAATTAAAAATAAGTTTATTTAAGTTAATTGCATTTAGTTAGTAACATCATGTTTAGTTTAGTTTCGATTTGGTTAGATTGTTAATTGATCATTGTGTGAAGGTTGCATCCATATGTGATTGTTTAGTATGTTTTCTTTTCTGAATGTTTAGCATGTTTCTGATTGTTAATTAGGGGTTTGTTAACAATTAGTTTAATTGCATATAGTGATATATTGTCATTTCTTTATTTTTACTTCAGAATTTATGTGTTTGATCTTCCATTAGTCTTGATTTTCTTTGGTCATTGGGTTGGATCCGGAATTGAGCCTATTTGTTGTTATTTGGATAGGCCCATTGGTATAGAAGGCACAAATGGAGTAATATTAGATATTGGGTCATGTTGACCGCTTGGTCCAGGTTTTGTGGTGCTGTTAAAGTAATTACAGAGGTTTAGGAGGGCAGTTTAGTATTTAAAATTGAAGGAATCTTTGGTTGTAACTGCCTGAGAAGGTTCTGGAAATAAGGGGAGGATTAAAATTCAATAAGGATAAAAGAAATTAGGTAAAATTAGGGTACTAAGTGTTAAAACCAAAAGTAAAAGGGTTAGAAAAATGTGAGTAAATATCTGAATGGACATCTGTCTATTTTCTGTTAAAAAGATGCTTTTCCCTAAATTTTAGGGGTTGTATTCATCGGAATGATTCCCTCACCCTTTCCTATATAAGACCTCACCTTCCTTCACTCATACACACATTAATTCCTGCATTTTCAGAGATATTCCTCTTGACTGATCTTTATTCTAATCTTCTCACAATGATTCTGGAATTCTAGCCTTTCAATTTCATAAAATATCAGAAAACTCAAAAAAAAAAATTAGTTATCTTTGTTCATTGGTATTGGGCTTCATCTTTCTGGTTTCTAAAGCTCAATTTAACTTCAATCCCTGTTATTTGTTGATGTGTTGTCGAGCTATTGGTTGAATCTGGGTTCTGACTACGTTTCTCCAAAATCAGAGATTTATTTTCTCTTTTCTCTGTTGTGTTTTTACTGCTATTAAGGTATTGATTTTACTCTTATAGATGTAACAGCGTTGGAATGCCATAAATATCATCAGATTTGCACCCATGGATTGACTACATGCTTGATAAATATTCTGTAAAGTAATCTGGTCATTTATTTGCTTTCTTTGAATATCTTCTGTCATGTCTATTTGTGAGTAGAACTGGATCTGAAATTTCAACTATAGTAGTAGTCTAAATCTGAACATAATTGTTAATGTTGTAGTCATCATGGAACCTTTTTTTTGGTTGCGTTATTTTGATCAGTTAAAATGAAGTTAGAACTGAGATTTTTAGGTTGGTTTGAAGCTGAAGAAACACCCATATCCAGCAGTATAGTAGTGACTAATGCCATATAAACTTGATATTTTGAAAAAAAGTCTAGTAAAGTTCATTTGTGTAATGATGTATGTATGATTATGTTTGGGACTTGAAGTTTGTTTTTCTGCATAACTGATGTAAAAAATGAGTTTTAAAAATAGCCTGTAATAACTCTTTTCATTGATAATTGCAAATGAGCACGGCGCCAATGAAATGCTGCTCATATTAGGCATTTTCTCGACTATTTGCATCCTTGTATAAATTAAAATACTCATGTGAGTTTATGAGGGAGACATTTCCTTTCTTTTGTCATTTGGGCTTCAGTTGAGCCCAATTCTGGCATGGCTCCAAGTTTTCTAGTTTATGAGTTTCTTAATGTTCAGATTGATTATAATTTAGTATAGTATCCTGAATGGTTTCATTTTCTGAAGATATGCCACAATTAATTACCTTTGATTCATAAGTTTTCAATTGTGTCAATACATGGGATTTGTGGTTGTAATGATGGGCTTGATGGGCCAGCAAGCGCAATTTCGCCTTTTCCATTGATAAACAGGGCAATTGAGCTTCTTTATGTTAGCTTCACCAAGAGCTTGGCCGGTTGAAACCTTCCAGGCCTAAACCTCGTGAGGATTCGATTAGGGGCCTCATCTGGGCTATAGTAACAAAGCCTAATAGGTGTGAAATTAACTTTAGGTTTCTTCCATTATCTTTTGTTGAAAAGCTTCTTAAAATTGTTAATAGTTTGGATTTATCCTGTCATTGTTGAATAGAATTAAGGTCACAATACTTATTCTTAAAACGTTTCATTTGAAGAGTTATATTTTTGAAGGGGTCCTTACTCAATTTAGATGAACGCTTCAAATTTTTTTATAAGATGTCCATAATATCTAGATTTCATACTTTAAACTTTGAACCTTATAAAATTAGATAACTTTTTTTAAAAAAAATAAATATTCGTAGCAATGCTTTAGGCGCGTAATTAAATCATCACGGCTATGGGTACGGTTCTCGTGGCATGATCGTGATACATAATCCCCAATTCTGGTGTGCATTTCATGTGACCCGGCCATAACTTCAAACAATAATAATAAAAATAAATATGTCGTAAATCGCGGGTGCATTTCATGTGGCACGGTTTGCAATGTGTACCAAAACAATTAGTGTGCGACATCACGGCTTATTTAAATAAACTCCATAATAATTAAAAGCGGCTTAAAAGATTAAAAATGCACGATAGTTTAAAACATGTAACAACTCATATAATTAGGCCAATTATTAATAGTTGAGTGACCGTGCTAAAACCACGAAACTCGAGAGTGCTTCACACCTTTTCCCGGGGTAACAGAATTCCTTACTCGGTCTGTGTTCGCAGACTTTAAACGAAGTCAAAATTTCCTCGATTTGGGATTTAAAATAAATCAGTGACTTGGGACACCATAAATTATTCCAGGTGGCGACTCTGGAAAAATAAATAAATAATACCATTTTGAATAATGTCACTTCAATTGAAAAAACTCCCGATCCTCTAAGAAAAAGAAGGTGTGACAACAGCTTAAGAGTCCATTTGGCCAAGCTGTCAAAAATTACTTATTTTGAAAAGTGCTTTTGAAAATTAGCAATTTGTGTTTGATCAATTTGTTTGAGAAGTACATTTTGCAAAATTTGATAAGTAAATTGTGTTTGGCCAATCTTTTCAAAAACTACTTTTGAGCGCCAAACTACTATAAAGTACAGTAAAAGTTTGTTTATAATTAGCGTTATTTAAAAAGAGAAATTTTAAATTTTTAGTACAAAATAATTTAACTAATTTTTATTTTTATTTTTATGTAATTAGAATATAAAATGTAAAGTAATATGTATTATAGATTTTAATCAATATAAAATATAAGTATGTAAAAGCAATAATATTGGTAGGAACATATATGCTTACAAGTTACATGTATGAAAAACACTATTACTTCTTGAGAAAATAACAAACTTGGTAGTATTGCATTATGTCAATTATATTATATGCATGCACGCAAAAAAAGTACAAATAAAATACAAACTGGAGATCATATAATATTGGTATACTGTAAAAGAAAAAAAATTATACATTATAAAGAAAGTGCTTGAATCTGGCGATTAGCCTTATTATTTCAAAGAGTAATAGGAGACGAAGAAAAGAAGAAACTACCGAATGAGAAAAGAAGAGATCTACTTATATTAGAGAGATTATTCAAAGTTGGAATAAGAGAAAAAGAATAAAAATACGGTAAAAATTGAAACAAGAAGAAAAGACGGTAGAGATAAAAAAAAAGTAAAGGTTAAATTAATAAGGGATAATTTAGGAAATATAATTTTGTGGTAAGGATATTTTTGTCTTGAAAACATTAATTTTCTGCTTCTGCTTCTTGAAAAAAATTAGAATTTGTAGCTTCTTCTCAAAAGTAGAAAAATTATTTGTGCTGTTATTTGACATGTCAATCTGACTTCTTCAACTTATCCTTTTATGTGTCTTCATTTGACTGGACACAATATGTAAAAATGTGAAAAGCATATCTTACGCCAAAAGTGTGCATACATATCAAAAATACCATTTGAATCTTCTAGTTCTAAACATGTCATATCATTTTCATATTAGAGTGTCGTAAGAGTAAAATGGGAGCATTGGAGTTAAAAATTTACTTAATAAAGAAAGATAACATTCTTTCGGATACATATTTAAAAGGAAAAAAAGGGGACAAAAACTGGAACAGATGGGGTACTACTTTTTGATAATATACAAGAACATCACTGACATGACAATTCATAATCTCATATCGACAGTGTTTCACATAACAATTGTGCCCTGAGCCCTGTAGACGAAAGGTGCACACTCTATCAATTATGGCGTGGACTACCAGGCATCACAGTACAAAAACATGGAGAAAACAAGATCCTAACATTGGCTATGCCAGAGCAGCTTCCCGATTGACATCATTTGACACAACACCCATGGGCTCCGCAGCATGTTCTGCCTCCAGGTCCTTCCTTGCATGGTGTGAGATATGAAGGTTCGCAAGGGAGTCACTTAGCGCATTGGTGGTTTCCTGGGCTCCTGCTACTAGAGCGTCCACCGCACTGTGACTGGTGGATGTTTGAGTCGGTACCTCGGCAAAATTCAGCTCCAGCTTCTTCAGCTCATCTTCAATACCTTCATCATCAATTTCTGCATCTGCTGCATTTGATCCTGAGGAGGAGCCAAACAACTAGCATTTTTAGCACAGAAACAATGCCAGCTAACTCTTTACTCATCAGAACTAATCAGATTGAGCAGATATGTTCAAATTGTTCGGTTTATCAGTTGATGGGTGAATATCTTCATAGTCAAAGGTCATATTAAGCGATGTCCTGACACCAAATTGAGATAGTATATATTAACCTGATAAGGTTCATTATCGTCCATCAGTTTATGAACTGGGAGAGATAATTCAACAAACGGGCTCGATCCATTTGGTTATGTTTTTTCCAGTGAATAGTATATAAGAATTTTCACTACCATGCTTACCGATTGAGTTAAAACTATCAATGCTTTCTCTTGAATTTTAATACTGTTAAGAATGTGACTCGAATTTCGGGGGCGTAAAACTACCTAGAATTTCATCAATCTGCTTCTGCGATTCAACACACTCGTTCAGCTCCTGTAGACACAGCTCAACTTCATCATAATCGATCCCATTTTCCTTAATAGCCTGTGTGCCAATTCGAATGGCTTCAGAAACCTGCCATTAATCAGGGTTAAGTTTAGAGTTGCCAAATCAGTTCAAAAAGGGCTAATAAGGTCATCTGTAACTTGTCAGTTTAGGATTAGAACAAGCACAGTTTCACATGATATAATATCCAGGGACTACTAAGAAGATCATTCAACCTCCTTTGAGGCTTCTGCATCAGAAATAATTGCAAGGACTTCCTCCACTCGGTTTAAAAGTGCTGTACATTTTTCTCTACTCAGAGAAGCCAGCTTCATTTCCCTTGAACACCTTAGAGCCACCTGTTTGTTCCCAAGTTTTAGAGAAGCTAAAGCAGATTCTCTAGACCTGCACATAGAACAAGCATCATATTATTGTGGTTAACTTTGAGGAACAGTGCTACCTTTATGAGCCCTGAATAGAGCTATTAAGTCTGAACTTCACAATAAGATTACGTCAAACGATTTTGAGCATGCTAGCCCTCTTCTGGCTGCAGGAAAGCACTTTCCAATATTCCTTCTTGATTTTCTTTTTGTTGGATGAA